TTCTTTATTTCTAACACATCAAGATGAATTTTTTCTTAGAATTCCAAACCACAAGTATCTTCAAAAAGCATAAATTTCAAAAATTAAAACTACAGATGTAATACATACTGTGAATCCTATAAAATGCGTTTACAATGCTGACTTAAAGAAAGAAATTTATAACTTTCATATGTACCTTCCTTGTGCAATAGGCAACTGCCATATGTTTCCGACTTTCACAATTCAGTTTTTTCTGGACCTCTGTAGCAGGTAGTGAGTGCTTCTTAAAGTACATTTTATGTACTTTGAGAAGGAACCTGCACCAAAGACTAAAAGTTAATGATAAAAAAAGCCAAGTCTTTCTAGAAATACTAGTTACTCTAAATTTACATCACCTATTATATAAGACTTGACATAGGTTTTTTTTTCCCTCCCCTTTCTTCAAAACACTGGATTTGAAAATGCAGTAGTTTGGAAATGCCGTTTTGTATAAGCCAAGGATTCTTTACAAACATTTCCAAAGCATTCAATGTTTTGGTAGAGTTCCTTTTGTTATTACTATTCTTAGCCTTTTACTTTAAGATGCTCACTTAGCTTTCCCTAAAAGACAGGTTGGAAATATAGTCCAATAGGTTATTTTATTTGAGCAGTTTAATATTTTTATATTAAAGGAGGAAGGGAAAGCCTAAGCTCTTACATTTTTCATGTATCTCAATTGTTCATAATGAACTTAAAGGACAGGCAAATGTACACAATTCAAAGTAAAAACAAAACAAAACCAAAAGTCATGTAGAAGAGTCATAGTTTGTTGTCGAAGATTTTGCCCATGTATATTTAACTCGGGGCTCATTCCCAATGCTAATACTATTTTTCAATAGCTTGTTTCCTTTTGTGCAGTTCCAGTGCTACCTTTAAATTAATCTGTTAAAAATCCTTCATTCAGCTAAAACTGAAATGCCTCATCTGTCAGTAGTAAAATAGGAATAAATTACAGTCACATTCTTCATTGTTTATATTTTCAGCAGATTATATAAATGTGCACAAATTTTCCTCTGTTTAAGAACTGTGGATATCTAAAGATGTGAAATAGGAGGGCAGGGCCCAATATACAGCCAATTAGAAGGTGTGATAGTTTTATACAAAGCTGATCACCATACCTAGTGATTCTTAAACAAAGCCGAAATAGAGACACTTGGTTCAATTTTCAATTCATTTTATTAAACCAGCAGACTCAAGAACCTTGTTTATAGGGAAAAATATTAAATTCAAAGAACATGAAGCATATTTTAAATATTTAATTAAACATCACTTTATATATCATCAACTATTAAAATGCCCTCTACTTAGAGAATATTATTTAATTTCCCCATTTATTGATTTATATCCAAAGCTACCTTTTGCATTATCCATATCAGCAATTATCCATACAGCTGGGGATTAATTTTATTACCGCCTTTGTGAAGATCGGGTATTAGTGATAGAGACAAGTGTGGCCTTTTGAGATTTCTGTTACTAACCCCTAACTGTAGGGCTGTGGGAAAAGTGTGGATCAGTGAATGAGGAAGTGAAGGTTTTTTCCACAGGGTGAAAAATAATTGCAGTAATGTCTGCAGTCAGAGCAGATGCTGCTGCAAATTGGAGATGAGTGGGGAAGTTTATCAGCCCAGTCAAGTGAATTTTCTGGACACACATCACAGGTTCATTGCTTCCTTACTGCCCCTCGACTTGGTAGGTCAGAGACCCTTTCTTTCCATTCCTTTCCCTTCCCCAAGTCGGAGAACTTGAAGGTGGGACAGAGGGAGGAATGAAGACAAGTTTACCCTCAGAGTACATTCTCCTTTGACTCTACCAAAATCTCGCACCTCCCTTTAGCACTAGCGAGAAATGGGCATTGATGGAAAAACCAACAGCAGAAGTCCCAGCCCCAAACTGAGTTTGGGCACTTGGGAGCCCGAAAGGCTCTTCGGTAGGCTTCGAGAGCTCTTCTGTTGCGGGATTCGGGTCTCGCTGATCTTCGGGATCAGGCAGGTTGTTGGAACAGAAGAGTGGTAAACAGCAGCCAATCCGTGAGGAAGTACAGGGTATGCAAATCCTCGACAAAACGGAGTAGGGAGGAACTGCGATTCGGGATCACTTTCTCCGCGGGGACTGCGCTTGCAGTTGTAGACCGAGGCCTGGTAGAGAGAAGGCCCGTGAAAGGACAGCCGTCCAACCCCTGGACGACTCAACGTCCTCCCGTAGGCTCTGTAAATGTATTCAGGTTATAACTTATTATTTTTACTAACCCAAATCACATGAAGGGGCGAGAAGAAGAGTATGTGCAAAAAGAAGCAAGAGAGTGGGAAAGAGCAGGGGAAGGACAGGAGGAGAGAGTGGGCCCCAGCCGCGCGTGTGGCACTGCTCTGTGACTCCAGGCAGCTTCTGACGTCCACGACCCCACTTAGGATATGGCGCCTTCCCAGATTGAGTTACTAAGTAATGCAAGCAAATAATCATCCCTTTTCGTGCTTGGACTGGGCCCTTGTTCACCCCTCTCATCCATCTATTCTGTATTTCTTTATAGGTCAATATTTTAGCTAATAATAAGCGTCTTCCTTTGCGTGGGAAGGAAGTCCGGATCCTAACTGTTTGGGAACTGGGATGCGCCTCGAGTTCAGAGGCCAAGAGCAGACTCACTTTTCACTAAGGCTTCCTTGCCGGTGCCGGTCTTGAGTATGAAAAATCAAACATGGATTAGAAACTCACAGCAGCTGTCAAGTGTACAAGAAAAAAGAGTGAAAAAGAAAAAGAAGTCTTTCTAGAGAATGAAATCCTAACGCGTAGGATTATTAAATTTATAATTAAAAATAAACAATTGTTTATAAATTAATACAAATAGTTTGTCAGTACGATGAAATAGCAAGCACTCTTTACACATAGATATAGATGCAGATGTGAATATAGGTAGATCTGGACATAGTATAATTTTAGGCTGAAAGCACAACAGGAACCAACAGAGAGAATGCGCTTTAAAAAAAGAATCTTCGGAACTGTCCAATTTTAAACTGCTCCAAGAAAAACCGAGGACTGATTATGCCTTTTCAAACACCCACCACCCTGCCCCTGTTAGTTTTGCTATCTGGCTGGACACGGATTCCACTAGGTACCATTCTCCCAAATCTGGACATTCAAAGCTCTGCTGCCCTTCCTTCCCCCTCCCCTCCTAGTACAAGAGACAGACCCACTCTGATAATGTTCTTCCCTGGGTGACGTTTCGAAATAAAGCCGGGTTAATTTGGCCAGGGCCCTGACAGGTTAATTCAGTTTTAAGTGCTTTCTTAACGTAGGTCATACTGGGAAAAGACATTTTCTTTCTTAAAGTGTTGAGACCCCACCCACGTCTGCATTGAGCGCAGGTGCACACACGAGCATTCCATAAAAGTATACACACACCGGTAAGTGCAGTTGGCGTACTCACGCGCACATATGCACGTATACATGCGTACGCGTGCATTCACCCCGCCGAACTTTCCTACTGCCAATTGGCGCCCTGTCCTTGCTTCCACTACTCTCTTGACTTGAAAAATGCAAGACCCTGGCACGCCTGTGCCACTGTTTTGAGAAAACGCTTGGCAGGGCAGATGGCCTCGCCATCACTCCTGCCTTCCCTCCAGCTCCTCCTCTCCCAGAACGAAGGTCCAGGTACGGTGAGGTCTGCGACCCACTGCTTCTCTGCTTCGGGGACAGATGGTCCTGCTGGGTCCGCAAGCCCGAGCCCGATTCTGCGCATGTCCGAGGCGGCAACGTGCAGTGCGGCTCTATCTCAATGCTTCCCAAACCCCAGACAGAACGTCCTGGACAGAGGGTTTTAGCGCCTTCGTCCTGCCCCCGGGCGTCCGGCGCCCATCTGGATTAATTCTAAGGACCACGTTCTGTCTGACGTCGTACGTATCTGTGAGGCCTGTCTTTCCAGCTCGAATGAGTCCAGACGGACACAAGTTCCCGGGTGTCCACACGTTGTGGGGACTGCGTCCCTCGCTGCCCTGGGCAGAGGCACTGTGGTGGTGGTGGAATGGAGGAGGCCTTGGGGCAGTGTGATTCTGAGAGCGCTCTGTAGAACGAACCGTTCAGGTCCTTCTAAATCAGTGTGAGCTGCGGAGCGCATTAAAGTACAAGAACCCGTCTACAGAGCAAGCTTCGCATCTGGAAAAAGCGTTGGTCCCTGGCAGCCTCAGGTACCTCAGGACGAGCCGCTCCTTCCCCTGCTGCGGGACGCGAGCAGGCCTAAAGGCCCCGGCTACTCGACCCTGGACCTCTGAGCCTCCAAGTCTCCGAAGCCACCAGGGCGGCTCGGAGAAGCCAAGGGTCCCCCGTCCTTGGGGTCACCTGCACCCTGGGCCTAGAGCGAGGCGTTCCGTCCTCGCAACGTGCTGATGCCGACTTCTGACACCCTAGTCCGGTGGAGCTCAGGGCGCAGCCTCCCAACCGCGTCTGTGCCAGCCATGCCCCCTGTTAGATCGAGCCTGGGCCCAAGCCCTTCAGGTTTTGACTCTCCCAGCCTCGCGCCCGCCCTTGGCCTCAGAAACCTCGGCTTCAGAAACCCAGTTAGAGCTTACTTTTCAGGCTATCCTACCCGCCTGGGGAGCTCTCGGGGTCCGGAAAGCTCCAGGCAGTTTGCAAAGACTTCTTTCACAAACGCAGAACAACCCCTCTCTGTGAGTCGGTTACTCCTGAATTTAGAAGAGGCCTTCTCCCCACGGTGTTGCTGAGTCGTTTTTGACCCTGGGGCTGCCGGCTCCTGCCGGGCAGCGGGTAAGTGAATGCCTCCGAGCACTGCCTGCTCAGGTTCCCATACTACTAGATACGTTGGAGGAACCGCGCGCACCCCTCAACTACGCGTAAAAAGATCGCAGAGGCTAAGCTACTATCCCAACCATTCAACTGAAAGCTCAGAGGGAAGTCTGAGATATGGAGCAGCAAACTGTTGAAACTGACTGAACAAGGATGAGAAAAAACAAAACAAAACAATCCTTTGCCGTGCATTTTATACCAAAGATTTCAAAGTAATATGTATCATGGATTTTATTCTACAAGATATTTGCTCTATTTATACCAAACCAGTTTTTTTGTTAATCGAGTTTTGTAGTCGAGTTCAAACTACAAAACAAACTGTACAGATAGATACGTCTAGAGTTCTTTAAAAAACATTGTTCTTTTTTTAAAATTTTATTTTAAAGAAACAAGTTGGCTCTTCAAAAGCCTGAGAAAAGAAGTGGCAATTTGAAGTCAGGTTAAATTACAGAGACATTAAAAAAAGCTGCACTGGAAACATTACTGTATCTTAAAACATTTCACTCTGAGAAGTTTTTAAGGAGAGTTAAAAAAACTAAATCTTTATCATAAACTCATACAGAATTAAAATCCCACCACCTACGTTTTAAAATTAACTATCACGCTTTGACAGACGAGGAAGACTCTGGAAAGGGCGAGCTTTTACTGACTAGTATCCTAAATATAAAGGACTTAAATATACCTTGAATTCTCACTCCTTCCCCAAGAAAAATCCCCGGAGCAAAACATAAAAACATACATAAAATTAATTAATAAGCAAGCTTGGTGCCATGCCCAGTGCAGAGTAGGCTCTACTAAATGCAGGAATGTTTAAATGAGAAAACACGGGCCTGGTGGCTGTGAATTCTCCACACTCCTCAAAATGTTCTGAGTTTTAACATTAAGTGATACGCGAGAGGGATCGGAATTTAAGGTTTCTTGAAAGATTTTGATATTCTGACTTGGTGATCATCTTGGTTTTAAGCCAGGAGCATCAGCATTTCCAGATTCTAATGAGGAAAGCTGGAGACTCGGGCTGGGCTGGGCTAGGCTGTGGGAGGCAGGGTGACTGACCCGGTTCCACACCCGGGGCTGGCACTTGCAAACCAGACGGCGGCGCTTTCCACTCTGGGTATTTTGCAACCTTGTAAGGAAGTGGGCGAGGGTTGCGCGGAGTCGGCGCCTTCTGATTGGTCGGATGCCTCAGTGATTGACAGGTCTCCGAACTCCACCCCCACCGCTTTATTGACACTAATGAGCAAGTTCTTCCCACCGCTCTCCTGCCTGTAAGTGCTGACAGATCAAGGCAACAAATTTCAATTACAATCCCTAATTTGTGTCCGCAGAGTGTTTTTTTTACCCATGTTAGTCCTTTCTGGCGCATCAGTCGAGGCCGAACTTGGAGCAGCAGGAGGCGGCGGAGGGGGTGGGAGCGAAGGAGCGCGTCTGTGAGAGGGCGCGCGAGAGAGACTCAGGGAAGGAAACTTGGCGGGCGCGTCGCTGGTTCCTCGGATCCAAATACGAGCGAGGAGGAAAAGCCCGATCTGTGCTTGCCCTCGGCGGGGAAGGGGGCCTATCTCGGCCTGGGAGAGGCCGCGAGGCTCGTTCGCACTCTGGTGGCAGAGGAGCGGGGAGCGCGTGTGCCGGCGCGGCGGTGTGTGCGCGAGGGGCGGGCGGCGCCGGGCGGCGGGGATGGCCGAGAAGCGGAGGAGCTCGCCGTGCAGCATGCTGAGCCTGAAGGCGCACGCCTTCTCGGTGGAGGCTCTGATTGGCGCCGAGAAGCAGCAACAGCTTCAGAAGAAGCGGCGAAAGCTGGGCGCGGAGGTGGCGGCCGGGGCAGTGGATGACGGAGGCTGCGGCTGTGGCAGTGGCGCGGGCGCGGACGAACAGGGCTCCGCGGACGGAGACGAAGGCGCCACGCTCCCGCCATCGACTGGGGCGGCACCCGGGCCCGCCCGGGGCTGCGCGGAACTGGAGCGGAGCTGCGGCGCCCGCGGGACAGCGGGTAAGTCGGCTCCTTCCCGCCTGGCTGCCCCCGGGCGCGTCCCCTCCGGATCCGGCGGGCCGGCGCTGCCGCGGGCTCCGGGCTTCGAGCTGCGGGCGTGCGTGCGCGGGGGCGACCACTCAGCCCCCTGCACACTGGCCTCGCGTGCCGGGGCGCAAAGCGTGCCGCCGTCCTGACCGCGCTCGCCGCGCCCCTCGAGTCGCTCTCCAGACGGTTTAAAAGCCGCTTCCAGCCTCGCTTCTCGGGCTGCCTGGGCGACCCGCGCTCGCAGGCTCCGCTGGTTCCCGCGCTTGGTGGAGATGTGTGCTTTCCGTATCTGCCTCCCTTGGGGTTCCAGCCAATGGGTGCTCTTTTTTCTTTGCTAACTTTTAAAAGCATGGGGGTGGGGGAAGCGACGGCATCACACCCCACGAAACCGGAACGAATGCCCTAAACCGTTTGGGCAAACCAGGAAGAGGGCGGCGTATCTGCAAACGTGGTTTCCCGAGGGGTAGCTAGGCGATACCTTCCCTGCCCCTCTGCATTCCCAGTGCCGCGGCCGACAGCGACTGTGAGCCCGCTTTCCGCGCTCTTCCTGCCCCTTCGCTGTTCGTCTGAGCAGCTCGAGGCCGTCGCGGAGTTAGGCGGAGCCGAGGCTCGAGAGTTTTCTAGAGGATGCCTCAGGCCGGGCCCAAAACGCGGCGCCTCGGACGCCTATTGCGAAAGGAGGCCCAGACGCTTCGCACCCGGGGCGCTAGGCCGTTTTGCTGCGTGCTGCGGCTCGCGGAGTGTGTCGGGGTCCACACAAGGGATCTGGACTCGGGAACCCGTCTCAGGTTCCGCCGGGCACGCATCCGAGACCCGCACGCTGGCGCGAAACTTATTTTGGAGCCTTGATTGGGAGGATGCCGGGAGGGTGGGGTGAACGCGGCCTGCACACCTCTCTGGGGGCCCCGCTTGGACGTCTAGCATCCCTTCGAAGGGCAGAGTGGGTATTTCGTACCCGGGGTCTCTTTGTTAGATGAGCCCGATGGCACAAAAGCTCCCCCGGTTCCCCTGGTCCTTTTCCTTCCCCCCGCCGCCCTCGGGGTCAGCCTCCCATCCGACTTGTCCTCTCAAGCCCTCCCCGTTTCCCCTCTTTGCTCTTTGCTGCCCAGGCGGCTGTGAGGACGGCTTTCTGCAGGGCGCTTCCCCGCTGGCGTCCCCAGGAGCCTCCCCGAAAGGGTCGCCGGCGCCCGCCCTGGTCCGGCCGGGGACCCCGCTGCCTTCGCCGCAGGCCCCTAGGGTGGATCTGCAGGGAGCCGAGCTCTGGAAGCGCTTTCACGAGATCGGCACGGAGATGATCATCACCAAGGCGGGCAGGTAAACCCCGACCCCGACCTCACCCCACCCATTGGCGGCTTAGGAAGAAGGGCCTGCAGCAAGGTGGGGTCTCTGCGTAGCATTTTCGTTCAGACAAGACAAGGCCTCAAGTAGTGGTTCAGTTTTGAAGCTGGCCTTGCCTGCCTACCCCGGAGTGCGATCTGTGAGGGGCACAGCCTGGCCGCCTCATGGTGGATGCCAGGGAGAAAAACCACTGTCGTCGTCAGTGCGGCAGCCATTGCGGTTAATACTGTTTGTGCAGGGTAATTAACATTCGTGGTCATATTTATGTCTGTTCAGGCATTTATTTAGGCTCTAGTTACCATTCCTGGAAGTGTGGGACATACTACCTTCCCCTCTCCCCTTTTAAAAACAGTTTACTTTTCATCAAACTATGATACGCTTTTTCAGATTCGAAACATCTAGGTTGGTTCTTTATCAAAAGATTTCCTGGCAATGTGAGGACGTAGTGTACTGTGCTATTTTAATATTTGCTCAGGATGAAAAGTTACTGGAATCACCGGTAATACATGCTTCATTCCTGAAAAACTAATTACCCTGATTTTTAAAAACCCTTTTGTTTATAGATTCACAGTTATATTTATCCATATTTTTTCTAAATGAAATCCACCACATTCGCCTTAATTTGTTGAAGAATATTAGAAAAAAATGTTTAAATTGTAGTTTTGTCTGTTTTTTGAACGTGTGAAATTTTCACATCCATCAGTAAAATAAATGAATTTGTACCATAGCCTATTAATTTGAGGGAGTTGTAGAAATATTTGTATTTTAAAGTTTTCAGTTCATTTAGTGCAGTGAAATCTATGAATAATATCTTCCTTAAAGGAACTTCAAAAAGCATACACAGCTCTTTCAGGGAGTACACATGGCAAAAACCTGTATAGCATGAAAGTATCCCAACTTATTAGAAATTACAAAAACATATTTTATTGAATCCATATGCTACCTTCTACATTTTCACAGAGCTTTTATTAGTGATCCAAATTCAGTCTTCAACAACACAAAGCAACAGTTGTCTTATAAAGGATGTAGTTAAAGACCTTTAACTCTTTATCTTACAGGTGCACTGAAATAACACCAAAACAGAGTATTAAACTGTTCTCATGTCTACTTAGGAATAAAGGACTTTCTTTTCTCTGAAAGTGGTCTCTAGTGGCATTATTGTTAAAGAAAAAAATGGTAAATAACAGCACTAAAATTTGTGTTATAAGGTTAAATTAGTAAAAAATTAGATTAACTGGAAGGGTCCTAGACATAAATCATTAGGTGAAAGTTTTAAAAAATACTCCTCTATTTGTTTTTTACATACAATAATTTGCTGTTGTAGTCCTTGCTACTGTACCCTTTTAAAAAGGTAAGTGCATTTACTTTAGTATCTCCTTTGATAGCCATCTCTGCGAAGCCAAAAGAAATGTGGATTTTCATTTGCTTTAATTAGCAAAGTTCTGAGTGAGTGTGGTTAAAAAAGAAAGTGTTTTCAGGGCATGGTGGGGGAAGGAATGATTTGGTAAATATACGTTGTGTTTAGTTTCTGCTTTCAATAAAGAAGTTTTACTATACCTTTCAAATTTAGAGCAACTTTTGCACTTCACCTTTACCACGCTGCAGACAGGAAGTCCTGTCTCAATAAAGAACATATTGTTTGGTTATAGTATGGCACATTGGCTCCTTGTGGTTTTTTTATAACCCTTTTAAAATTTCACTTTATAATATATTTTATCACTTTTGGAAATTCAAAGTTTCTGTTTTTACCATTTGGAACATTTCATCCATATTTTTAAACATGCTTATTGACTTTTGTTTAAAAAATAAAGTGCTTTCTTTAGTGTCATTACTCCTTCATTGTATAATTCTTTTCCTTCTAGCTGGACTGATATTTCATGAAACACAGAATGCATGACGGGGTTTACAAATTACACTTAAAAGCCTCAGTTTTTATATGTCCTATGTTCTGATTTTTTAAATTACATTAACAGAGTGAAAGCTATACATTTTTGCACATTTGAAAAGTAGAGATTCGAGAGGTTTCTTTGCTTATTCGTTCTCCACGCCTAATCCCAAACAAAAACAAAACGCAAACTTTCTTTCTTCCCGTCCCTGATATACAGGCGCATGTTTCCAGCGATGAGAGTGAAGATCTCAGGACTAGATCCTCACCAGCAATATTACATTGCCATGGACATTGTGCCAGTGGACAATAAAAGATACAGGTACAGTGATCAGAAAGATACAGGAAGATAAAAGGAATTTCAGGTTATGTCTGTTTGATCTATTATAACTATGTTTGTTTCCAGAAACTTGTAGAATTTCCAGGTCCATAATCCAATGCCCTTCGGTTCTAGGAGCTCAGAAGGTGCCTTCTCTTGCAGTAAATGAGGAAACAATTTTTTGTTTTGCTATTAACAAATACAAAATGTCTTTAATAGGGGCCAGCTTAGTGTTGCTAAACTAAATGTGTCGTTTATATCCATTTACATTTCGGTTAGAATTTTGAGAGGAAATGTTAAGGAAAGTTTGTAGATAAACATAATATTTAATGAAATGTTTCATTTTCTTTGTGATATCTTTAAATAAATTTCCTGCGTTTTGTTACATTCAAAATTGTAGATATTTGCAGACTTTACCCCATTAATTTGAGGAAATTTTTGAAGATTTTTTTTACAACTTATAAAAATAAAATTTCGTAATTCATTATGATATTGAGTGAAACTGATAATGAACTTGTTAATTTACTGTTGTTTGGTTGGTAGTTAACAGTGCTTTTTTTAAAAAAGCTTTATAATATTTGTATTTTAAAGAGGATATTTATCTAGACATCAACTAAAGTTGGGAAAAATATGTATTCTTAAGTTTTAAACTAATCTTTGCTCTTTTTCTTCTGCAAGTAATCAAATCAGCAATTTTCAATGACAATGCTTTTTATTTTCTTGAGTTAAGAATGTCACCATTTAAAAAGGGAAATTTTGAGTGAGAGGTCAGAAGATGATGCTGCCTTAAATTGTGGTCTTCTTTGTTTTTGTGTTTCTATAAACGACAAGAGCATTTAGTAAGTTTTTAAATGCAATCAAATTTGGCTTTTATCACTTTTTAAAATTTAAGAAGTTGCTTTTTTGAAACATTTATGTTATCAAAAATATACAGATTTAATTAATCCAGGCACATATGGAATACTAAAAAAGTGGGTACTAAAAGGATTTTTAAAATTTGTCTTTTGTGTAAAAGTTGTATTAATTACTTTAGTTACATAACTCATTAAGGAGTTTTGCTAAAATTATCTGCTGCATGAAATAAGCTAGAAAGCACTGAAAGTTATTCTTTAAATATACTTGGTTTAGAATCTATATACTAATTTGGGTTTTGTGCTGAGGAAGATAACATAATTCTTAACAAGCTTAGAAATTATTCCTTTCTTTTCTAAGTTTGTCTTCTTTTTCTTTTTCCAAATTTCTTCCATGTATTTTGGATGGTTCGTTTTGCTTAATTGATTTGAATTATTCTCACATAAAGCAAGAAAATTTGGTGTTATGTTAGCTTTTAAAAGATAAAATTGCAAACTATAAATTTGCTTCCATCTGAAAGCTCCCCAAGAATAAATTTGTTTTTAGCATTTGTATTTAGAATGTTTCCCGAAGAATATATATTTTGTAGCATTTATTCTCTTAAAGGGTGTGGGTTTTTGAACTATTCAATATGTGTACTTATTTAAGGTTTGATAGAGCATATTACTTTATTTGTTTTGATAATAACTATACCCACTGTGCATTTTTTTCTTGCCTTTCTAAGATTTGCATTTTACTTTCTAACTTTTTCAGTAGCATTAGAAAAAAATTGTTTTGGCTTATTCTCTGCTGTCAAGAAGTATATTTGGTCAAGTTGAAAACAACTGCTTTTTATTAGAATGTAAAGATAATATTTACAAAAGGCCATGTACTTAAGAACTTATTTATTGAAATTGCACTATACCAATTAAAAAATTATTAATTTTGTGATTTTGTATTTTTTCCCCAAGAAAAGGAATTAAATAATTGAAGGCATATTGAGCTCAAAAGAGAAAGAAATGTGTAACCATAGTTGGAACAGAGTGTCACCAGAGACATTATGGGCATGTTTTATGCCAATTTAAAAAGCAATTTTCATGCCATACAGATAGAATTTTCTGAGACTGTTTGCAAATTATTACTTAAGTTTTATGTCATAGTATTCCAAAATACAAATGAACAGAAAACACTTAAGTATTTATCATTTTATATCCTTCCTAAATGGATCATTGACATACTAGTTCCTAGTTTTTAAATTAGTGAGTTTTAAATTAGCATTAATGAAGGGTAATCTGAATACAGGATTAAATGTTATAATCGTATTTATTACTTGAAGCATTGTTATTTAAATGTATTCTTAAGGAGTCATTATATATGATATATATAAAAACAATAGGATGTTTTGTCTCTTAATTAGAAAAGTAATATTTAATTAAATATGCCATCATTTTAAAACTTTGATGTGTATTTTACTTAGTGGAATTTGAAAACTAAAGAATTTTCTTACAAGGGTCAAGAAAGAGAAATATAGGAGATAAAGACTATATCTTCTGATTTTACAAAATTTTGAAGTTAAACTAAGTACACTATCCTCAATTTAAGTGTAAAAGAATTAGAAAAAAAACCCTAAATGATCATGGATAAGAAAATAAAAGCTAGTGGAACTTCTAACCATTTCCCCTTACCTTTCTACCATCTATTACATCAGTTTGTACATAAGCCTAAAGTGGGAAGTGATATGAAGGAAGTGAGACCCTCTAAAATATAACTCAAATATTCTGTGATTTACTTAAAGGTGAGCTTGACAACTTTATAGTTCATTTATGTTAGTTGAATTTCCAGACGAAAAATGGGAAATATCAGAATATAGACAGAATGTCTATATATGTGTTAATATGTGATCCGTAAGAATTAATATATTTGCATTTATGGTGGTGATAGTGTGCATATTTTTCACTAAACTCTTAATACCACTTGCTCTGAGTGCTCAGTAGGCCACTGCTGTTTTACAGAGAAAGATATGTATTTTGGAAGGAAGGAAATTGCCTTTGCAAATGGCAAAAATAAATGTATCAGTTGACACTAGAGGAGAATGTAGAAGGGAAAATGCTCTTTCCTGTTACTTATTTTTAGAATGTATTTTTGAAGACTTTCTAAAATGTAGGAAAAGATAAAAGGCCGTAGTCTCTGCTTTTGGTGATCTTGTAGCCTAGACAGGGAGATAAGGCATGCACACAGATAGTTATGCTGTCAGCTCAGAGAAGTACAGATGCCACATTATTCCAGTCAGAAGAGCGTGGGAGAGGTGCCCGAAATCTTATTTTATATGCATGGGATATAGGGAGCCAATCATTATGATTTAGACCCCCCCCAAAAATAGGTGCATATTTTATCGATTCTACTGAGTTGGAAATTCTAAAAAAGCAATAGTGCACATACTGAGCCCTGTTCATCACCTTCTAGGTATGTTTACCACAGCTCTAAATGGATGGTGGCAGGTAACGCCGACTCCCCTGTGCCACCCCGTGTATACATTCATCCGGACTCGCCTGCCTCAGGGGAGACTTGGATGAGACAAGTGATCAGCTTTGACAAGCTGAAGCTCACCAACAATGAACTGGATGACCAAGGCCACGTGAGTAGATGTCCTCCTTCATGTACCACCATTGGATAGTGAAGCCATATGTATACTGTGCCTGACCTAAGGCCATGAACTTTCTAAGATCACAGTACTCCTCTCTGAGTTGATCAGAATATGCATGCTCTCTGCAAAATCAGTGTTATATTTGCATCAGAGATTATGCCTGTGGCCTGAGTATCCTATGAAACATTTAATAGGCTAAAGCTAGATACTGCCTTTGTATTGGAATGAAAGAACATCAAGCAGATTTTTTTTAGCTAAAACATTTGTTTGAAATCCCATGAGGTCCTAATTATTATACTCTGAATGTGAAAACTTGGGAGCCGGGCTCCCAGGGATAATGATTTAGTGTCCTGCCTGCATCCAGTGCTTTTCCCGGCTGAGGCTTACTGTTTCCCAGTAATGGCCCAGGCTTGAGCTGTTTGTGTTTCATCTGCAAACTCCTAATTGTTTTGTAATGACACCTAATGTGTCAATATATGTTACAATAATAATTCCTTCTAGTTTTAAAACTGCTTAAACATGATGCATTAAGACAAAGTCAGTCATTCCAATAACATAATCATTTTCAAAACTTTATTAATTTTTATGCAGTAAAATTGTTCATAGGCAAGATTTCTTGGTTATTGTTTTAATAAATAATTTGGATACATGCTGATTTTCATTCAAAGATAGCATTTATATTAGGTTTTTGATATTCGAGAGGGTTTTGACTGAGGCAGGATTGAAATGCCTTTTGAAGAGTACATCGTACTTAAAGGAATATCAAGTTCATTTCTCAAAGGGGTGACATAAAGATATCATATTTATGAGCAAATCTTTTGCCACAAAAATGCAAGCTGTCTTAAACTATTAATACAGTGATGACAGGATCTGATTTGCAAGTTGCTAGACAATATTTTAAGTGGTTTACCTTAATGGAAATAGTCAAGTACAAATTCATTGTGGTACAGGTGTAGTACCTACATTTTAAAGACACACCTCACATTGTTAGTGCTTTTGTTTATTTGTTGCCTTTTATGATTTGAAACAGAATAAAAAAGTAACATGGTAGCTTTCATTTCTGAATTCAATTTCATGCCCTATATTTTATTGCATTATTCAATTTTTTTTATTATTCTTTATTACACAGTCAAGTTGTAATAGTTATCTTTTACTTCAGTGAAAGAATGCTAGTTTTTTCCCATCTTATTTAAAGGGGTTGGCTGTGTAACATTGCCAGAATGTTCACTGAGGGATCTTTTTTTAATAGAAAACAATTTTAAAATGTTCATTAAGTAAATACATATGCTGTACTTTCCTTAGTTTTATAGTTTGAGAATATCTTTTAAAGAGACAATTTGGCCTAAAAACTATACACTGTCATTTGTAAGGTACAAACTTTTAAATAATGTAAGTCAATATATTCATTTTATAATTCTAATTTCAGATCAAATTACTGCTTTTATATTTAATACCTAACATATCTATAATATAAGATTTAGATCTTGTAATTTATCTATATGACTTTAACTTTGTAATATCACTAGACTTTATTTAAGACAGTATTCTTTACAGAAACAGAACCAATAGGATGCATATGTGTGTGTATACACACACGCACACATACACACAGATTTTAGGGAATCTGCTTAAGTAATTGTGGGTCTGGTAGGCTTGAAATTTGTAGAGCAGGCTGGCAGGCTGAAGATCCAGGGATATGGATGTTGATATTGATATTGCTGTTAAATCTGAAGGCAATCTGGAGGCAGAATTCCCTCTTCCTCAGGGAACCTGTAATTTTATCCTAAGGCCTTCAACTGATTAGACAAGGCCCATCATTATGTACGGCAATCTCTTTTACTCAAAATCTACTGATTTAACTGTTAATCTCATGGAAAAATACCTTTACAATAACATCCAGACTAAATAACCACAGCAATATTTGACCGAATATTTCGGGATCATGACCTAGCCAAGTTAAACATAAAAATATCACACAGCATTTATTTAAAACACAAAATAATAGTTTGCAAGTTGCAACTCAATTGTTTCTATTAATAATTACAATATTTTATATTATAATATTTTAAGAGGTCTCACACACTCATGTTCATGGGTGAGTCATAGCATAAAATGGGGAAAATATAAAGAGTGTGTCATCTACCAGTGCATTTTTTCTTTTAAGGTTGTGGCAAGATGTATACTTTAACAAAGAGGGGCATTTAATGTGTGAGGATCAGGGAGAGAAAGATATGTATTTTGGAAGGAAGGAAATTGCCTTTGCAAATGGCAAAAATAAATGTATCAGTTGACACTAGAGGAGAATGTAGAAGGGAAAATGCTCTTTCCTGTTACTTATTTTTAGAATGTATTTTTGAAGACTTTCTAAAATGTAGGAAAAGATAAAAGGCCGTAGTCTTTGCTTTTGGTGATCTTGTAGCCTAGACAGGGAGATAAGGCATGCACACAGATAGTTATGCTGTCAGCTCAGAGAAGTACAGATGCCACATTATTCCAGTCAGAAGAGCGTGGGAGAGGTTCCTGAAGTCTGATGACCCCAGTGAGGTCAGGTTAGAGATGAGACATTTGTTTCTTATTCAATTATTGATATGATGCAGCATCTAGGGAGATAGTAGTAGCATCGTGGTGGGACTTCCTGACTCAGTGGTCACTTTCCAGATGCGAAGACCCCTCAGGGACTCACCCTTCTGCCCTCATATGGCTGAGGTTCCCCTTTTCCTCAGGACTGCTAATTCTAAAGGAAATGGCACTAATCTCTAACTAATCAAGCTGTACACTCAAATGAGAGGTGATTTTCTAAATTACCTTCTTACTTTTTTGTCCTCTCAGTTCCCATATTTACTCTGCTAAAGATGTACATGTGTTCAACACAGTGACTTTGGAACTCCATGTAGACCTGGTACTTTTATTGAACCCAGAATGATTGCAGGAATGAAACCCTCACAGGGCTGTGACTGGACATCGGATTGCATGAGACATGAGATTATGTGCCATTGGTTTTCCCCAAAGTGACTTTACATCTTTCCAAATATCAGGGATTAGAGAGGAATATTGGTGAGCATCTAGAGTGGAAATGTCTTATCACTTGACACCTGGTCTTTGAATGTTGTAAAGATTTTATACTCTCTACTTGCTTCTTGGGAAATTCATAGCCGGCTTTATGTTGGATTGTATACAAACCAAGACTGGTCCTTGGACTACTCCTGTGCAACTGGTAGCATTCTTGGGTAGAGAATTTACTTATCATGTACATGTTTCCCTATTAGCCTGGAATTTGCAGTCTGAAGGGAAATATTTAGATGAGTATTTCACTATGCATAATATTTAGAAGGCATTAAACAGGTAATGGTACACCTTAAACAAGACTCATGGCCACAGTGCAGGGGGTACTTTGGAAGGAAGCATGGCCACACAGCTACAGCCAGAGGACCTGTGGGATGCTTGTTCTCCCAGGTGCTAAAGATTCATGGTGTAAAGTGTCTCTAGCTCTAAGTTTGTCCTCATCCTCTTCCCATTTCTGCTTGACAGTCAGGTGGGGAAGCAAGATATTAAACAGGAGATTGCCTAGATCTCCCTGATGGAAAGAACTTGGCTTAGAGGTCCCACAGATTCATGGTCATGAGCAAGTCATTTTGGCTATCTTGAGGCTTGGTGTTCTCATGCATTATGCTGGATCAAAGAATTTTGAATGAATCAATTGAGCTGATGAACTTGAAAGTACATTATTTGTAAGGAGTGCTTTATACAGCATCACCTGAAACAAAACCAAGGCCACATTGCTCGAGAAATGCCTGGATAGCATCAGTTATTTCTGTATCCCACTCCGATATACGCCATCTTAATTCATTTTGGAAATTAGGTAAGTATATAAACAGATAAAATTAAATGTATATAGCTATATGTAGAAGTCTGCTTGAGAGAACGAAGACTTCATAAAACAAGAACCTACTTTTCATTGACTAATAAACAGAAACCCAAATCAATTTGTTTCCTTTATTCCAAGTCAGTTTGCTCTAGTCCTCTGAAATTCCTTTAGTATAATGGAGCTTTTTCTAATTTTTCTTTTGTCCTGGAATTTGCTGATCATTGGAATCATTAAAATTAAAGTTTGTGTGTTTTTCAGACTTTTTACCTGACTTATAATCAGACATACATCCTATGTTATGACCTAGTTACGCATGCACACACTAACAGAGAAAACAGTGTTTTGTAAAATGGTATCTATCCTTACTCTGAGGAGCACACTCTTTTTTTTTCTACTTTCTTTTATAATTGTATTGATTTGAAAAACCTCTGATTGTAACCCTTCAAGTGGATTTTGTGAGCCACTATTAGGTTACTGAAATTCTGTCCTTTCTTAGACTTGGAAAGAAACTTACAAGGATTGAAGATTTGTGCATGTGTCTGCAGGTGAAGATGAGAACTGTTGTCCCCTCTTATCCTTTTCTCATACTTATGCTGCCTTCCCATCAAGCACTGTTATTAGATCTGCTATCCAGGCATTTCTTCCATTGATAAAAAGAAAACTTTAGGGTTTACAAAACAAAACTGACTATAGCACCGGTTACTGCCAGAGGGTAAAGACTTCTCCTTGTGGCAGCAAACCCATTGTTCAGATATAGGCTCTTTGTTTTCTGGGCTGCTCACAGATTCTGAGTTTGGCTTACTAAACTGCCTGCATCCTAAAAGACATGAGGCAGGTCAACCACTGTGTGTTTCCAACACTTTTGTGGAAGCAGCTCCCCTTCAAATTCCTAACACCCGAGAACCTGGATTCAAATCATGTAGCTCAGGAAACATACAGGTTTGTTAACTAAATTCATTAATGAATACCTAAATATGGACTCTCTGCAGCAAATAGAAAATCCTGTTAAATGAGGCTATTTCTTTACCCCACCTTCTCAACCTTGAAAGTATAAAACATATAAAGAAGAAAATAGTCACCAGCAATCCTATCCAGATGATCACTGTTCATATAATTGTATGGGTCCCTTTTAATGTCTATTTTTATGTAGTTGTGCTAAGCTTATTAACAACTTGAATCCTTTTTTGTCATTTAAGATTTGAAAAGAAGCATTTCATTGTGTTCAAATAGCATTAATAATGGCTTAATAACATGTATCCATTGTGTGGATTTTCACTCACCCAACCAACTACTCATGTAAGTAGTTTAGAGTTTTTCCATTGTCATAAATAGTATACTGTATATCTTTGTACACAAAATGCTTTTCTGTATTTGGATTATTTCCTTCAGATAAATTCTCAGAAGTAGGATCATTGGGTAGAAGTGAGTTGAACCATATTTTCCAGTTCTAGTAGTATCTGAGGGCTCCAAGTTTTCTATCCCCAGGCATCTGGGTTTGAGAAACCTTATTGTGATGTGGCCACAGACCCTAGGCTCTCCTGGCAGACCAGAGACTCTGTGAGCCACTTTAAGGCAGAACCTGGTTATACTTAAAATTTCAGTTGTCTTTGAATGGACATGTCATAGTCACCAATAGAGGAAAAATATTCTCTGAAGACCTTGGTGTACAAATACTTATTTTTAAGGGATGGGTGTGGTGGATTTTATAATCATTTCAATCTCATTTTTAGTTTTATTGTTTTGGACTCTATGTTCTATTTGGCTCATTATAAATGAAATGCTTATGAATTTATTCTTGTATTTTCAGAAACAGAAAATTTTATGTTAAATTCACATGATTGAATACAGGTTTCCACCAAAATAATGGTTTTCTTTTTTTCTTTTTTTTTTGTGTTTTGATGCATATTTTATGAATAACTTCCTAACTTTCTCTCTCTAATTTTGATTATATTTTTATTTAATTAGTGCTTCTGCATTCTTGAAAATCTTCACTTCCAACTGGGATTTTACACATTAAACGCTTAGTCATGCTGCTGATATTGGGCAGAAGTTCTTGATAAATTTGGCTTTTCTTTCCTTGCCATAGATTATTCTTCATTCTATTCACAAATATCAACTGCGGGTCCATGTCGTCCGTAAAGATTGTGGAGATGATCTCTCTCCCGTCAAGCCTGTTCCATCTGGGGAAGGAGTGAAAGCATTCTCCTTTCCGGAAACTGTCTTCACAACTGTTGCTGCCTATCAGAATCAGCAGGTATTGTTCTCAGAATTGGCATCTTCCTGGACTTTTCATTTCTGGTGTATATAGAAAGCTAGCTCTCCTTTTCACTGTATCTAAATGTTATGAATTGTCATAAGGCATTTGC